GATCCTTGAGCCTTTGAACATCTCCCCACTTATTTGCTCTGGATTCCAGAAATACCAGTCACTGACAAAATACCACAAATTAAAAAAAATGAATCCAGCGAGAGAAAATATAGTTTTAGAATTATTTTAACAACCCATATTAATGTTACTCTGTGGACCTACAGTATCAGAGAGCGCCATGCCACCATGCTGCCCACATCTACTTATAACATATGCGTATTCTATATATATTCTACATACCACATATATATGCACATGTGTATGGAACTAATATATCTATCTATCTTATTAGTGCTTTAGAGCACTAGGAGAGGTTAATTATCTGCTGATTCTTTCGTAGCTTAAACAGACAGATATAGATATGTAAGAGTACAGGGAAGCTATATGTTGGCAACATATCACCCCAAGGGCTTCTTGAGGGTTATTTTTTTTATATCTTCGTATATACACATGCTATTTTCCTTTCTTAGCTTTCATATATCTCTAGATCAAGACAAAAAAGATATATCAAGATATCCTGATTTATGCAGACAGAGAAGCTAAGAAAGGGGGGGGAAAAGAAAGAGTGCATGTGTGTGTAAACAAAAAAATCTCAAAGGCTGTTTATACACATGCTCCAAGAGTGAGTGGGCAGGCGGGAAGGAGGTACTTTAATTAGAGCGGCTCCTAGAACTGGTCTAATTAAAGCTCCTGGACTGTCTTGTATATCAGTGTCCCCATGCTTAAAAATGGTAGTGGGGGCATTTTAACCAAAGCTTGTCAAATAAGCTTCAACTAAAGCGCTCCACTGCCATTTTTCAGTGCACAGGGACACAGATATACAACATGCTGGAGCTCAGTAATTACCATGCTCGAGCAGACTTCATTAATCAAGTCTGTTTTGATGCGCTGTAATTACAGTGCATCTGAGCAGCCTCGCTGCTCATATATAGGTGCCAAAGAAGCCCTTGGGCAAAATGTTGCCAACACACCTAAGAGTAAGGGGAAACTTCTACATACAAATATATAAGTAGATATATCATCAAGAAATACCTATATCTGTCTATGCTAAGAAAGAATCAGCAGATAATTAGCCTCTCTTAGTGCTTCAAAACCTCCAAACCATTCGTTATCAACCTCAGAAACAACAGCCATGTCTGTTCTCCAGCAAAGCCGGACTGCGCTCCCTTCAAGAGGGAGAACTCTGGGGCATGCCCAGAGTCTCAGCTCTCTACTCTGTAGCACCCACAGTACCTACCTCAAAAAGCATCAGGAAGCTAATTTGGTAAAACCACCAGAGTTTTGCATCCAGGAAAGGCACCCTACCCACCCTAGAATAATCTAAACACAGAACAGCAAAGATCTCTTGGGCACTATCTTGCACTACCATGTGGCTAACACAGCAAGGTGAGACACAACACCCTGCGGCGTGCAGCCGCCTCAGAGCCCAGGCACGAGCAGCAGGCACTTTTACAGCTCTGCTACAGCCCACAGCAGATAATCCACAGCCGCCTCCAGACACGCGCAAAGCTGACACCTCTTACCAGATCCTCTGTACGGGTTACAGGCCCCTGTCGCGAGCAGCACCGCCTCTGCCACAAGGCTCCTGGAGTCAGAGAGAACAGAACAAGCCCAGCTCCGCGATCACGGCCTTCAGCTAGCGCGGCGGCAACTGCCGGGCCGGGCCCCGGGCCGCCCGTGGCCGAGGGGCCAGTTCCCACCCGCAGGCAATGCGCTAGGAGCAACCTCAGGCGACACATGGGGAGCGCCAGGCCGCCCAGGGCCTACGCCCGCCGCTTCTACTCTCACCTGCGCTGGGCACCAGGCTCCGGCAGAGCCACCCCCACCTCCGCGGCGCCGCAGCCACAAGACCTGCCATTTTCTTCGTTCCACCAGGCGCCCTTTACCACTTCCGCTTCCGGGGACCTCATAAGCACATACGCAAATACCTTTCCCCCTCTTTCCGGCTCCAGGAACTGGAGGACTTGAACTACGCGGCTCTTTGTTTCCCGCCCCGCCATCCAATCGCGGAGCAGCGCGGCTCGGTAGCCAATAGCAACGCGAGCAGCGTGTCCTTCCTCCTGCCCCGTCGCGTCATCTACAAGTCTGGGGCGGAAGTGACGTTGCTGGGCTGAGCTCAGCCAGAAACAGCCTCTTCTCTTCTCTTCCCCGCACCATCCGCATCATGAGGATACCACTGCCTCCTGGCTGATCCAGTTCCTCCTCCTGCCGGGCCGGGCTATGCAGCGGGCATGGAGGGTACGGGCCCCGCGGTGCGGAGGCGGCGCCTCCTCCCCGCCTGCCCCCAAGAGGCCGAGCCCCGGGGGCAGCTGCGCCAGCCCCGAGGTACCGGCTCCTCTCCCTCACCAGCGGTCCGCGGGGGGAGGGGTGGCCGTTGGGAAGGTTGGAGCTGCGTGAGGCCCATTGAGCGGGGGGCTGGTTCTGGCATGCTGGGGGGGGAGGCTTCGGCCCCAAATTACCGTGTTTGTTGAAAAACAAATATGCAAATAAGCATGCAACTAAGACTTACTTACTTTCTGTGGATGACTGGAAATCGTGAGTGACTGAGACCTGGGTCAACAAAGCAGAAGGGTTTCTTTATTTCTAGGCAAGCAGTTGCAAGAAAGTGCTGACAGCAAAGCTGGAAGTTGGTTATGACTCTCTGGGAGTGACTTGAGTGTTGCATCAGCTGCATCAGTTAGCTATTATAAAAATTATCATATATTTTGAATACTTGTACTGTTATTGATTGTACAAGGGTGGAAATTATTGTACAAATATGATAGTTATTGTACACCTGGCAACATTGGCCTGCCCCTTCTGCCAGCAGAGGAGGCTCTGGAGCCTGCTCAGCTGGAGAATCCCAGGCTTCAGCCCCCCCTCAGTGCCAATCCCAACACCTCCTGCTGAGACCCTGGCCGCACGGCTCCTCACACCTGTTCATTTATGCATTCCCAGGGCCTCCTGGTTGGCTTCCTCCTGCCCCTGGCTAAGCTCAGGAAGGAGGTTATGGCCGTGAGGACCCCCCAGGGGACTGCAGGGCTGCTTTCCTGTCCCTATTTGCTCAGAGATGGGAGCAGATGCTTTGCAGGGCCGTGCCTGTTGGCTCCTTGTACTCCAGGTCCAGTGGGCACTGTTGGGCAGGCTCTGCTTAGTGTCCCCCCTTGGTGCACTCCTTATAAACCTGTGACCCTTACTCCTTTCCCTGTTTTACTTTTATTTGTTCCAAGGACTCAATTGTTTCATCTGCAGTGGTCTCCTTAAGGAGGGCTTCTAATTTTACTTGGTGGGCCTAGGCCTACGCTTCCCCAGTGACATAACAAATAGACCTGTGTCACAAGGTGTCCACTGGCTCCTTGGACTCATTTGAGGGCCAGTGGGCACTGTCCAACATGCTCTGCCTTGTGTCCCCCCTTGGTGCACTCATTGTGAACCTGTGACCTTCACTTCAGTGCCTGCTTTGTTCCTTTATTGTTCCAAAAAATCAGTTGACACGTATCCAATAGCTCCCCTCTATTAACAGTCAGGGCTAATTTGCTTTGTGGGCCTAAGACCCATGTCCCCAACATGTGTCAAATAGGCCTGTGTCTCACAGTGGCAGAAAGTGGATGTTGAAAGGGGGAGTGAAATGGGTATGACCAGGGTTTTTTTTTCCCCACTATTCCTCTTCCTCTTGTAGCCTGAAGCATTTAAGGCAGGGGTGGGCAAAATGCAGTCTGTGGGCCAGATGCAGCCTGCCAGGCCATTCTGTCCAGCCCACAGAGCCCTGCCAAAATTGAGAAAATTAATATTTATCTGCCCCTGGCTGCCTGTCATGTGTCCCTCAATGGCTTGCCAAAACTCGGTAAACAGCCCTCCGCCTGAAATAATTGCCCACCCCTGATTTAAGGTCTGGTTTCAGAGGCTGAATCTTTAACTCCCGTAGAATACAAGTTGCATTTTACTAGTACAGCAAATTGAAACATATATGGACATATGTATATGTGCATACATAAAAAATTATCTTTATTCTAACGTCTACACACGCATCCTACAATATTAACTCAGATAACTATGTAGCACTAGTATAAGAATCAGTGTCTAGGCCAGGGCTCACTGACTGATCCCTTTGAAAGTCACAGTGCTTTTGCAAATCCACCCTTCATTTGTCAAAGCACAGAGTTAAATTACTAACAAAATTGTAGCGTGTTGCATCTTGGGTTGCATGTACTAAAACACACTTTAAATTGTGAATCAACCTTACATCTGCCATGGCATAATCACAAATTTACTACTTTTTTGCAGTATAATAATGACAGCGAAGAGGACATGTTTGGGAACTATGACAGCTTTTCTGGAAATGATTCTTTACTAGCTCAAGTTGATGACCTGGAGCAAAAATACATGCAATCTGTTGATTTTGCTTTGCACCCAGAAAATCTGGAAAACAAAGCTATTGTAGAACCTGCATCAGGGAAGTTTCACATGCAGCACTCCAAAAGCAAGGAGCTCGTGTTTTCTACCACAGAAAATATTAATGGTTTCAGAGTGAAAGAAGAAGATAATTTCTGGAGCAGTCCAAATGAACAAGAAGAAAGGACTCAAGAACTGGGGGATTTTATTTTAGATGATTTGCCATGCTCACAGCCGCTATATTTCAAGGAAGTGGATGCTTCTACAAAACAAGCAAATGCAAATGCTGGTAACAATCACATGAATTCTGGTCTTGGCAGAAACTTGAATCAGTCATTTTGTCACAATGATGTAGAGCATAGCAAAACAAATAATGAGCCATCCCCAAACATCACAACTGATTTGAATAAAAGAAAGTGTCTCAAAGATCACCTCAAAAGTGCTATGGCTGGAAATGCTAAGGCTCAGTCTCCACAGATTTCTAAAACTAAGCAGCTCAAAGAAGCTATTCTGTCTGAAGAGCTGTGTGTTGCCAAAGAAACAATTGAAGCTTTCTCTGTTGATCTTGGTCCTTTTTATGGTTTACCCAGTAAAGTTAAAGATCTTTTTGTACAGTTCCGTGGGATTGAAAAGCTCTATGGTAAAATTAGTGGTTTTATTTTTTTGTAAATGAGCTGCTTGTTATTGGATAAGGGTGGATATAATGTTTCCAGTTTTCAATTTAACCTTTTAATTGTGTTTGTGGAAACCAGATATTTCTGTGCTCTAGGAAAAGGCTCCTAAATAAAAAGGTGGAATTAGTTAAACTTCTAAAGGAAACCCCTTCAATAATGTAGCTTTAAAAAGTGGAAGAGTAAGAAACTTAAGCTTACACTTAAAAAATTTAAAAGAAAATAGAAGTTATACTGCATGATAATCAGGGATCTGGCTTTTCTGTTTCCCATGGAAAAACGGAGAAAACCACAGATTGCCTGTTTTTATCAGAGAAAACATGGATTTCGCTTTCTAGCAGAGAAATCTGCGGATTCTCCACTTTTACAAAGAGCTCTTGCCGGCTGGCACAGCTCCAGCCTACAAGAGCTGATTGCAGAAAGGGCAGGAAACCCCAACCCTACCTGGAGGGGGAAGGGTGGGGCCTGAGCCTCTGAGTCAGCCAAGGCTGGGCTCAGGTTCAGGCTCCCCCTTGGCTCTTTGCCCCTGGATGCTAGAGGTAAGTGGGGCTTGGGGGTTGTGGGGCAGGGCTGGGGAAGGTGGCTGGGGGCTGAGGGAGGGGGGACTGCTGCCAGCCCCAGGCAGCACACCGCAGTCAAGAGCAGAGCTGGGGGGGTGAGGGCAGGGGTGTCCCTCTGCAGGGGACTTTGCAGGCAAGCAATGCAGGGTGCAGCATGGTGGTGCCTGCTGTGTGCAGGCTGCACACATGCCACCTTCTCCTGGGAGTGGGCACAGGGACACACTCCCCGCCTTCTTGATCTACCCCCCCAGCACCTTCCCTTTCCTCCGCCCTGCCACACCCCTTCCCCCCACACACACTTACCTGCTGGGGTGGGTGTCAGTGTCTGTGTGTGCATCTGTGTGTGTGGATCTGGGGGGCAGTTGTGAGGGAGTGAGGGGCATCGGGAGGGCTGAGGAGGCTGTTGGGAGTGCAGGTACCAGCAGCACTGGGGGGACCTGTGGAGGGCCTGTAATTTTTATCACGAATTCTGGGTTTTTAATCAGAGAAAACTAGGATCCCTGGTGATAATGGATGCAGTAAATCACCACAAGAAATTTGAAGGAAACCTCATTCAAGTAATTTTAACTCAGTTTCATCCACCCCAAGCGTTTCATGTTCCTTAAAGTTGTGACAACTTAAAAACATGATTTCAGTTTAAAACTTTAGGGGGTCACTATTGGATTGCTATTTCTTACTTGATGTTTTTCTGAATGTTTTTTTCTGATGTTTGCATATGTGTGTTAGAATGGCTGAATATCGTTGTAGTTTTTTAAAGCAATGTTATTTCTATTCAGGTAAGTACAATTTTAATTTAATCAGCTGATAACCAGTATAGAAATAGTTAAACTATCCTTATTCAGAGGTGTGCCAGATGTAGTTGCTCTGGTGTGAAAATATTGTAACATTCTCTGTGTGTATCACCAGGTTTGGTTTTGCCACTTTTTTTGAAGTAGTAGTATTTACACACTTGCATTCAGTATATTCTTCAAGACATTCTGTTGTTAGTTCGGTTGTTTTATTTTTGAGATATATATGTGGTTCAGTGTAAGATTGTCTCCTAGTTTTTTAATGGTGTGCAAGTAATGATATATTGACAGAAAACTGGGAAGTCTGGAAAGCTGTTAGGGAAGCATTATCTTACTTTTGAATGCATTTTAAGTAGAACCTACATTTTTAATTCAGTGTTGATAGACCACAATGATCTCAAATATCTTTTGCTTGAATTACAGTTTGAAATTTGAACTTTAAATTCAGTTTAAGCAGTAGGCTTTGTTTGAAGCTTCCTTTGTTTTCAGAGAGATTTTGTAAAGACTGTTTGTGACATTCTGGATTTCAAAAAGTCTTGTGTGCTTGGCATCTGTGCATCATTAACTTTGAGTTAATTACTAGAATATAGCAGTACTGGATTAATGTGAAAGTTTATAATGCTGTTGTCTGCAGCTGCAACCATTCCAAGGCCTGTACAGTATGATAACTCTTGTGTTCAAGTATTGAACACAAAATTTAAAACTTACTTGGAGTTTTTAGTTCAAGTTTTTTTCCAGATGTTAGGAGCCAAAACATGAGGGAGCTACTTCATATAATGTATGCATCATTGTTACTGTGCAGGATTATCCTGCTCTCATTTCTAGTTATCTCAAACAGTTCACCAAAGTCTATCATGTTTGGCTTTGTATATGGCAGACAAATTTAGTATTCTCTAAACTACAAAAAACTGCTAAAATAGGTTGATGATATATAATAGCATTTGCCTCAGTGAAGCAGAGGCATTAAGTTATCGATAGATTAAATCATAAGCAAAGATGTTACTTTATTGAAGTGTTCTTCCAGCAAGCATGAGCCATATACTAGAGGTTTAAGGGCTTTAGTTAAAACCACTGGGTGTGATCTTAGAATAGAAACTTACAACAGTTGCTTGTTTGGCCACTATGCTATATATTTCCGGTTTAGGCAATGTCTGAGTGTTCCAGTTTCTCTTAAAAATTAATATTATGTGACGGTAACTTGGTTAGATGTGCAAGGGCATTTATTTGACACATGACCGGTTTCTGTGTGAGGTAAAGGAATGCAAATATCACTCTTCATATGTTGTCAGTAGTACACTTCCTGTTCTGAAGCTTCTTTCATTTGTTTAAAATGGTGGATTCTGTCATCTTGCATGAAACTGTTTTTAATAGCTTCTGAAAGTGTTCAATCATGTGGACCTTCTGGGTAGTAGGATGTTATTGTACAGCAGTGACCCTCAACCAGGGTGCTGTGAAATTCTTTTAGTGTTCTATGGGGTGCCAAACAATGTTAGCACTATTAGGTGTACAAACGGCTACACATGATTCACAAGATAAACCCAGAAGTTTCAAATAGGATTCCTGTGTGTCAAAAACATTCTGTCCTCTTGTGGTCTTTCTGAATTCTTCGCAGCAAAATTGCACTATTATTTTTCTGTAGTCGAGAAATGAGTGAAAGCTAAGAGCTGGCATTTTCCAAAGGGGTGTCTTACGTCTAAAATGGTTGAGAACCACTCTTGTATAGACTACCTGAAGAATGGAGCTTTCTGTGTGATTAGCCAGGGGCATATTGAAATATTTTGTTTTGTGATTTTTTTGACAAGGAAAAAGATTTGGTAGGCTGAATCATCAGTTCTTTTTGGAGCTCTATTGAAAATCCTCTGACAAATTCATCTATTCATATCCTTCACCAATACAGAAAACATCTTAATTCTTCATAAGCATATATATTAAGGCAGTTAGAGGAAAAGAGAACACAAAATAACTCATTTATTTTCATTTTACAGAGTGGCAGCACACTTGTTTAACATTAGAATCTCTGCAACGAAGAAAGAATTTAATATATTCATTGCCAACCAGTGGTGGAAAAACACTTGTAGCTGAAATTTTAATTCTTCAAGAATTACTCTGCAGGCAAAAAGATGTTTTAATGATTCTGCCTTATGTGGCTATTGTCCAGGAAAAGGTGTGGAAACTGTTCTTGATTTTGTTTATTTGTACTCTGCATTGCAACTTTGTACATTTTTTTTTTTTACCAGTAATGTTGGAAAACTATTTCAAGCCTCAAATTAAGCCATGCAAAAGTTCTAACACAAACATGTTTGCATTAAGGCTGTGCGAAGCTTCGGGTGCTGATTCAATTCAAAGGAGATTCAGCCCAATTCAGCAGCTGAATCTCCAAATCTGAATCAAATTGGGAGACCAAAAAAAAGGTCCAAATCGATTCGGAAAAGATTCAGCAATTTGGACAGTGTCCATTCACCACCACAGGAAACTGGACCTGGGCTCTGTGCTGGTAAGTAGGCGGCGGTGGCCCGGGCTTCATGCCAGTAAGTGGGGGTGGGGCCTGGAGGAGCTGGGAGGAGACCACGGGGGGCCCATGCCAGGCCCCATCCCTTGTTTGCTCCCCCAGCCCCATCAATGGCTGCCCTGTCTGGCCCCAGTGTCATAGTTTCATAGTTAGTAGGGTCAGAAGGGACCTGAGCAGATCATTGAATCCGACCCCCTGCCGTGGCAGGAAAGAGTACTGGGGTAGAACGACCCCAGCAAGGTATTCATCTAGCCTCTGCTTAAAGACCCCCAGGGTAGGAGCCAGCACCACTTCTCTTGGAAGTTGGTTCCAGATCCTAACTGCCCTGACAGTGAAGTAGCGCCTCCTGATAGCTAGCCTAAATCTACCCTCTGCCAGCTTGTGACCATTATTCCTAGTCACTCCTGGTAGTGCTTGGGGGAACAGGGACTCCCCCAATGCCTGCTGGTCCCCTCTGACTAGTTTGTAACAGGCCACTAGATCCCCCCTCAGCCTTCTCTTGTGGAGGCTGAACAGGTTCAGGTCCCGTAGCCTCTCCTCATAGGGCC